AGGCTCTGTCTCTTATAATGTAACAGGAGTGTTGGGACAAAGGAATATGGCCCAAATGAAAGAACAGATCAAAACTCAAAAAAAAAAACCCCAACTAAGCAATGAAGAGACAGCCACCCTACCAGATGCAGAGTTCAAAACACTGGTAATCAGGATGCTCACAGGAATGGCTGAGTATGGTCCCAATATGGAGGAAAAAGTGAAGGCTATGCAAAGTGAAATAGAGAAATATATACATGGAACCAAGAGTGAAGGGAAGGAAACCAGGACTGAAATCAAAGATTTGGAACAAAAGGAAGAAATGAACATTCAACCATAACAGAATGAAGAAACAAGAATTTTAAAAAAAATGAGGAAAGGCTTAGGAACCTCTGGGACAACTTTAAATGTTCCAACATCTGAATCATAGGGGTGGTGGAAGGAGAAGAGGAAGAACAAGAAATTGAAAACTTATTTGAAAGAATAATGAAGGAGAACTTCACCAATCTGGTGAAGGAAATAGACTTCCAGGAAGTCCAGGAAGTCCAGGAAGCTCAGAGAGTCCCAAAGAAGTTGGACCCAAGGAAGCACACACCAAGGCACATCACAATTACATTACCCAAGATTAAAGACAAGGAGAGACTCTTAAAAGCAGCAAGAGAAAAGGAGAGAGTTACCTACAAAGGAGTAAGACTATCAGCTGATTTCTCCAAAGAAACCTTGCAGGCAAGAAGGGGCTGAAAAGAAGTTTTCAAAATCATGAAAAGCAGGGACCTACATCCAAGATGACTCTATCCAGCAAAGTTCTCATTTAGAATGGAAGGGCAGATAAAGTGCTTCCCAGATAAGGTCAAGTTAAAGGAGTTCATCATCACCAAGCCCTTATTATATGAAATGTTAAAGGGACTTATCTAAGAAAAAGAAGGAGATCAAAAGCTATGATCTTTATGAGCAGTAAAATGACAACAAACTCACAACTATCAACCAAAACAAAACCAAAAAGCAAACTAGGCAAACAACTAGAACAGGAACAGAATCACAGAAATGGAGATCAGCGGGGAGAGGGCGGGGGAGAATGGAGGAAAAAGTACAGGGAATAAGAAGTATAAATAATAGGTACAAAATAGGCAGGGGAAAGTTAAGAATAGTATAGGAAATGGAGAAGCCAAAAAGCTTATATGTATGACCCACGGACATGAACTAAGTGTGTGTGCAGTGGGGGAATGCTGGTGGGAGGGGTATTGCAGGGTGGAGGGGAATATGGGGGAGAAAGGAAATGGGACAACTGAAATAACATAATCAATAAAATACACTTTTTAAAAAAATGAATGAACAAAGAGAATGGCCAAGTTAATTCCTATGATAGTAATGCCTTGGGAAGGCAAGGATACCAAACAAAGCTGCTCCTTCATAGATGACTGCCTCAATCTAAAGGTGACACAGCTGCCTGGAATTCCACCAGAATACAAAATACCCCTTTCTAGAAATACAAACAAAAAACAGTATGAGATATTACAGCACTCTTGTTAGAATGACTGTGATCAAAAGTATAGGAAAAAAATGTTGGCGAGGATGTGAAGAAAGGAGAACACTTGTACACTGTTGGTAGCAATGCAAATTGATATAGCCACTTTGGAAAACAGTATGGAGTTTCCTCAAAACATTAGAAATAGAAGTCCCATATGATCCTGCAATTCCACTCTTGAGTATATAATCAAAGGAGATGAAATCACAAGCTTGAAGAGATATCTGCACCCTCTGGATCACCGCAGCATTACAATAGTCAAGACATGTAAACAACCTAAGTATCCATTAACAGATGAAGAAAGAAAATGTAGTATGTGAAATGGAATACTACTCAGCCATAAAGAGGAGAAAATCCTGCCATTTGCTACAACATACATGGAGCTTGAGGGCATTATGCTAAGTGAAATAAATCAGACAGGAAAGACAGACTGTATGATCTCACTTACATGTGGAATTTTAAAAAAAAAAAAACTGAACTCGTAGAATCAGACAGCAGATTGATAGTTACCAGAGGCAGATATTGGAGGATGGATGGAATGAGGGAAGGTGGTCAAAATGTACAAACTTACCGTTGTAACCAATAAATTCTGGGTGTGTAATGTGAAGTCTTGTAACTACAGTTAACAATATTTTTTGGATATTTGAAAGTTGCTAAAACAATAGTAGATCTTAAATGTTCGCATCACAAGAAAAAATTGTAACTATATATGGTGATGGATGTTAACTAAGCCTATTGGGGTGATCATTTCACAATATATACATATATCAAATCACGTGGTGTATCTTAAACTAATAGAATGTTATATGTCACTATCTTAATAAAAATAGACTGTACTTTTTCTGAACATTAAAAAAAATTACTCCTCTCTAGAACTAGGATGAAGAGGGGAAAGAGTTGGCAGCAGAAGCCCTAAGAAGGTGTGGGCTCATCATCAGCCCTAATTCTATCTTCTTGGAAAAACCATTAATTTGGAAGGCTTGTTGGGTTAGGATCTATGCTAACAGTCCCTCCCTATCCTGAGCAGGTCCTACAGGTATTAGTGATAGCATTTCATGCTGAGTGGGGTCGTTGAGTAAGGTGCCTTACGTAATGCCACTAGGAAGTTCAGACAAACCTTGAGCAACAGATTGCAATTCCACAAGACTCCTCTTTTTCTGGCACAAACAGAAAGGCATCCAAAGAGTTGCCCTCCTTTTCCCCAAGTGGGGAGCTTAGAATTTCCTGATACAATTGCATCTGGAAGAGAGAGGGTTGGTATCTGGGTGACTAACAAACTGTCTTGATTGCTCCAGAAATGGGGATAATGCCAAGGGCTTAGTTTTGGTGGTGGGGTAGCCTAAGGAACAGTGGTTTCTGGCTGAATCCAGCACTGTTTTCTGCAGTTAGTATTTCTGCCACCTGAGGACAGTGTTGGAAAAGAGAAATGGGTGGGAGCATTGGAGATCAAAGGTGCTTAGGAATTAGCTGGCATGGATCAAAATGACAGGAAGCCAAGCAAATGGAAATTAGCATGTTTTCTGAAACAAAAAGGCTATATATGTTAAGGAGGTAGTTCTGATACACACATTGGAGGAGTAGCCTGAAGAGATTCCCCTGAAACATTGGTACAGTTCCACAGAAAATGCCTTTGTCTGGGGATAGGCTTGTTTAAGGCTGAGAGCCAATCCCAAATACACCCGCAAGGTAGAGGGGGGAAGGGCCTGCTCCTCCTCTCCAGGTCCCATCTGAGGGGACTGGGTTGGACGGTGATGGGTGCCTGAGTCCTCACCCAGGAAGGGGAGCTTTAGTCTGAGAGGACATAAGTGATCTTGGCAGCAGGGCCTGGATCTAGGCCAAGACACTGGCAGGTTGGGTGGGGACCAAGGTAGGTAAGGGCTCAGGGAAGGTGTCAGTTTGACAAACTGGTCATGCATGGAGAGAAGGGGGTCCTGGGTCTCAAGATAGGGACTAAATCTACTCCAAAGGGAAAAGCAGCAATGAGGCACTGGTAGAGAAAACATTTCTTCTGGATTTTTAAGTCCCCACAGAACAGTAAACGAGTCTAGACCTAGTTTATGCAAGTGTATAATGAACAAGTATTCACTCTTGTTGTTGCTATTGTTTCCTCTTAATCACTTCCTTAGAAGAAGTGATTCGTGTAACACCTATGAATCCAGAGGTTGCAGAGAATCAGCCCAGAGCCATGAGGCTACAGTAGAAGCCATTCCCAATAAAAATTCTAATCTTTACTCACATGGTTCATAGTCTGCATTAATTCACGTTAACTTTTGTTCGAACCTTGTGTTCTCTCGTATTTCCTAGCATGCCCAAACTTCTGGGAGTGCCTCGCCCTCCTAGGCCAGAGGCCCCTTTCTCATCCATGCACCTGGTTCACTGCTCCGTGCTTCTCCTGAGCTACATGCTTCCACTGCCAAAGACAGCCTGAGAAGTGTTGTTGTCTTCCTTCGGGTTGCCTTTTCCTTCCTCTTGCACTAGGAGTCTCTCTAGTTCTGAGCCTCTCGGCCTCATATAGGTGTTACAGAAGTCCAGAAACCCTTCTGATTTGATCCAGAGTTTCCACAAGGAGTAGTTGAGGGGAAGGGACAGGAGAGGGATGTTTTTCTGAGCAATTTCTTCTGAGTCATTTTCCCAATTAATGATTAGTTTTTGTGAGTAACAAAAAGGAACTTTTTTTTTTTAATTGTTGTTCAAGTACAGTTGCTTTCATTTTCCCGCCACCGCTCTCCCCCCGCCCCCCACAACCCCGACTCCCACCTTCAATCCTATCCTCCTTTGGTTTTATTCATGGGTCCTTTATACATGTTAAAAAGGAACAAACTTTAATTTTATTCCTTATTGTTCTATTCACATAAACGACCTGAGGTCTCCGGTAGGGTAATGTGTACCCACAGAGGAATGTGTGCTCATATGTGTACAGGGCAGGCGAAGGTAGGTTTACAGTTGTTCATATGGAAAATGCAGTGATTAATAAGTAAATACTAATACAAGAATAAACTTTGTTTCGTGTACTCACAACTGTAAACCTCCTTTTGTCTACCCCTCACCTTCTCCAACCCGGGAGCCTCACTGCTCATGATTCCTGCTGACTCTCCTCCTCCAAAAAGTCTGCATTACAAGTCTACAAAGACTCATGATCTATTATTTTCTTCAATTCTTCATTGAAACTACAGATAATAATAGCCTTTTGGCTAAATATACTTGTCTCCTATCCTCACTGAGGCCCCTATTCACTTTTGTTTTTTAGTGAATAATGTACACATCATCAGTGAGTGAGAGACAGATGTCCTTCTGAATTCTCATGTGTGTGGCGCAGGCAGTCACCCTGGAGAACACAGTAGGTTATAGACAGTGTCCCTCCTTTTAGGAGACTATAATAAGAACTATTTTTCCTAAAAATTGAATTTGTGAGCTACTTGTTTTGTTCTAATATCTCTTGCAACCATGTTTTATTGTTGTTAGTATGATTTAGACCATAATTAAAGTCAAAATTTACCTTTGATATATTCACCAATGAGCTTTAAATTAACGTTCACATGCTTAGCCGTTGGATCGAAGGCACATATTTTCTCAACTAAGTATCTGTTAATGTACTGTAAATAAAGAACAAAAGTTATGGGATCACCAGTGAGTGGAACTAGAGTACATAATTCACCAGTTTACATAATTTCATTCACAAAAATTTGAAAACAGGCAAAACCAATCTATGGTGATAGAAGTCAGGTTTCTGGTCACCCGTGGGGGTGAGTATGTGTGTTTGAGGGAGTAAAGGGAGAGGGTACAAAGGAGGTTTTGGGGACGCCACTAAGGATCTCTTTCTTGATCTAGGTGCTGGTTACAAATGTTCAGTGTGTAAAAAATTCTCACATTTGCACACTTATGATTCATGCAATTATTATTTGTGTACCTCAACTTGTGTGGGTTGTTTTTCAATAAAAGGAATACATAACGAAAACTCACCAGTTTACACTTATCCCAGTTTCCTAAGTCACTTGATAATTCCAACTCTGGATTAATGAACAAGATAACTCCTGTCAGGATGTCACGTATTAGTTTCATCTCGGCTTCTAACAGCCAGGACTGGCTGTCTGACAGAGATGTGGGCTCAGCTAGCGGATCATAATCATACAGCAACAGTGATACAAAGTTCATGGAGGTTAGCAGCCGGAGGCTTGCCTGCAGCTCTTGCAGCATGATTCGGAAGAAGAGAACTCCTGCCCGCTGGACCTCTCCCACACTTTCAATCTCTGTAATAACAGAATGACATCCCGCATGGCTATTCAGTACACACATTACTTTTCATAGAATTTTGAGCATAATGTAGTAAAGAAAAAACATGTCTTATGGGTTTAAACAATCTTAGTTTCTCTAGTAATGAAATCAAAAGGCAGAAATGAAATTACGCCTGGTGAAACTCACAAGAAGAGGCTTTGAGGAAAGGTAAAAACTCCTGTTTTATAGTTAGACTTTAGTTTGAATAACTACTCTCCCTCTTATTTGTTCTGTTGTTTCTGAACTTTCTTTTCCTTGTCTGTGAGAATGGGGCTGATTTCTACTTACTTGGTGAATTGTGGACATTAAGTGAGATGATATGTGTAAAAATGCTTGGTCTTGGCCTTATACATAGTGAACACTCAAAAGACATGAGTTTTCTCTTTTTCATTTCCTCCTTATCCCACCCTACCCTATGTAATAGCTAGAAAACTTTCATCTTATTCACACACGTGTTACTTCTGATTCCATCCACCCTCTTCTAGATAGCCAAAGGTTCCCATGCTTCCTTCTTCCCTCCCTTCTGCCCAAACTAGCTTTGTGCTAAGAGTAGCCTAATTGGATGTGGAATCACAAGGATTGAAGTCTGGTCCTGGCTCTGCCCCTAGTTTGCTCCTGGACCTTTACTTTGATGGGCTTTAGCTTCTTTATCTGTAAAATGAGATGTTCTGATGAATTAATACTATTTAATGTAATGGAAAGAGCACCCAAATTGGAGTTCAAATCCAGCCTCCACCACTTGTTAACTGAGTGATTTGGTGCAAGTTATTTTGTCTCTCTAAACTTCACTTTTCTCACCTATATTGTAAAATGATGCATCACCATTCACCTCACAGAGTTATGGTAAGGACTAATTGAAATAGCATATTTAAAGGGCTTGGTATATGATGTAGCATTTAATAAATGCTAGTTCTATATTATCTTTAAGAGTCCTTTCAGTTCTAAAACCATGTGATGCTAGCCAAGAAAATGCGATTCCTTACCCTTTACTCTAGCATATAGATCATACACATCAGTCTAAGACTGTCTGAAGGAATTTCTTTCATGTGGAAAATCCATATATGGCAACAATACGTTTTAGAAAACACATCATTTGTTGCATTGTCTGCGACTTTCCCAAAATTTATTAAACCCATAAATCCAGACTGTCACCACATTCACAGTACCTAAGACAAGATTTTTCTTTATTTCTCCAGATAATTCGCCCAGTATTTCATAGCAGGCAGCTTGGACCACTTTCATCATTTTCTGTAGGTCTTTAAATTCTCGATACAACAACATCTTACTCTTGCCAATGTTAAAATCGAGAGCCCCCAACGCCTCTCCTGTTCTCTCACGAAGTGGAATGACTATGTGGTTTTCTCCGCAGGCAGAGGCCAAAACAACTTCTGAACTGTCTGTACACTTAAAGAGGAAATCTCTGAAACCAGAACCAAGTAAGCATAAACATGTAAAACATCAGCCTGTTCATAGCATTCTACCCAAACATACTGAATCACTCTCTTTTGTGCCTCCTATACTCCAGCCCACCAGCCCTTGCTGCTGTTTCTTCTGCCTGGACCACTCTGCCCCTTGATTTCACAGATCTCTCTCCCTCAGCTCACTCTCTTCTCTTAGAGAAGCCTTCCCTGACCATACAGTCTAAAGCAGCAGCATCTGAGTCATGCTCCATCATGATACCCTGATTTATTGTGTTTACTATATTTATCTGATAGTTATTCTTTTGTTTGTTTGTTGGTTTACATGTTGTCCAGTATGTGCTGGTGGAATGCCTGAAGGAATGATGAGTGTGTCAGGCTCTCTGGAAGAAGAGCCTGAGACAGGGAAATGATTTACAGGGAAACAGGAGGGAGTGCTCTCAGGAGAAACCTGTGAGGGTCTGAGGAAGCAGGAGAAGGAAGGGGGAAAAGTTACATAAGAAAGTGATTTCAGGTAAAGTCTAAACTCAGCCCGATTCTAAGGGGAGCTCTCAGAGGCAAATTGTGTTGAAATCTGCCCCACCTTGATGCAAGGAAGAGGTCTTTTGTCAGCTTTGGCTCTAAGTTGCTGTGGGTGTGTGGGGAGGGTGTTTACATAACTCTGAGGCATCTCCATCTCTCAGGGGCTCTCCTCCAGAGAAAGCTCCTTGTGAGTCTTTAGCAGCAGTACCTACAGCAGCTGGCAAAAGATACATGGGGGACCCCAGCTGGGCATCGACAGCATCTGCTTGTGAGGGACCTGAGGTTTTCATAGAAATGAAGCAGCTGCTTCCTTCTCTAGTGAGGTACATTTCTCTCTCTCTTTCTCTCTCTTTTAATCTCTTTTCCTCTTCCCCCATCTATATTAATATTGAGATGTCATTCCTTTGAGGCATTTCTTGGTGCTTTGCATAGCCTCAAAAAGGACACTTCTAGTTCATAATATCCATCCTATAATGACAGGTAAGATTGTTTCTTTCTTTTGCTACTCCCACCACTTTGTACCTTTATGATAACCATACTAATGATGCGTCGTGTTAAACTTTCCAGGCATAAGGATAAAGCTGATTCGTCAACAGAGTACCTCAAAAGGCACCTGGTCTAAGTTACAGGGATCAAAGGATAAGAGTCTGGGTAAACTCTTTAACACTGTAAGGAATAATTAACGTGGAAAAGAGTTTAAAACTGAATGAAAATTCTAGTGTGAGGTTAAACTAATATTTAATTAAATAGGTTCTTAAGTATCAATTCAGTCTTTAGTTTTAGATAGGTTATTGGCCACTTAGCTACATTGACCCTCTCAGAAGCAGTCGACCTCTTTGCAATAGGTGCGTTCTCAGTTAAGCTCTGTTTTGCATCTGTTTCTTGTATTCCACAGGTGAGAGGCATTTGAAGTAACCTAGCACTTACTAAGAACAACATTCTTTGATTCTTCTCCACTTTTGTCCAGCCTGCCTTCTTTAAACAAACTTGTTCACAAGCTAGCTAATATTAAGATGAGGAGCTTTGATAAGTGGTGTGGATGTATTTGTCATAATCATGGTGGGTTTTGTTGAATCCCTTGTTTACAAAAAAAATCATAGAAAATAAAACACTATCATGCTTAAAAGCATGCAATTTTAATATAAAATACCAGTGAAATATTTTGTTTGTTTTTTTTACGTTGTTTGAAAAAAGCCCACATGATATAGAGCAGACTACAAGTACTATGAGGCCAATGAAATTTATTTTATAAAAAGGACTTGAGAGGGAAAGTCCCCTTCTCGTCAAGAGATTTTTCTCTAAAACCCAATCAGAGTGAGAGTCAGTGTATACTAATAAGAGGCAAAAGCTGTGTCTTCAGATCTATGACACCAGGGTGCGTGCTCTGGTAATCAAACAAAACAGACATGAAGATGCCTCTCATACCTGAAGATGCATGTCTTCCTGAAGATGGTAGGGGGATTTTTGTGGATTTCTGTTAGACCCAGGGGCCCTGTGACCATCATATTCCGTAAAACATAGTCTGAACCCTTGAAAAAAAGGAAACAACTTCATTATGGAAAAGAATAATTAGACCTCATATTCTCATTAAAGCTTTTGGGGACTGAAAAATAGGAAAAAATTACGAAAGTTTAGATGACCTCCAGTTTTAAGTACAGTGACATTTTACTTATTCAGAACCATTAAGGAATGAGGTGTTCAACAGGAGAAAATTTTCCAAATATGAGATTCATTTAAGTGTAAAAACTTATTTTTTATAATTGTGATAAAATGTTGTATTATATTATTTTTTAGAAGCTACAAGTACATTGCAGAACATTTGGAAAATACAAAAAGTCCTCTCCCCCCAAAATAAGTGCAATAAAAAAATATTTTCCAGTGAGGTCTTGTCTTCACCACTTCATCAAAACTGTTCTTGTCAAGGTTACTAGAAACTCTCTCATTGTCAGATCCCTAATCCCCATCTTCCTCTCCCTCTTGGCCGCACTTGATGCAATGAACAACTCTCTTCTTGATGTACTTTCTTCACATGGCTTTTGGGACACCACTGGCTCCTGGTTTTCCTGCTGCCTCACTAAGCACTCCTCTCATTTTCCTTGCTTTCTTTTTTTTGTCTTCCTCACCTCTAAGGGAGTTTCAAACTGTAGGTCATAATACATATGGGTTATAAGAATATTTTGATATCTTTTTTAATAGCCTTATTGAGGGATACTTGACATACAAAAATGTGCATATTCAATGTCTACAGTTTGATGAGTTTAGGCTCATAAGTTTTGGTCAACTTTTTTTTTTTTGGTAGAAACTAGTTTGTAATATTAATATGTTCTGTAGAATACACTAAGCTTTAGAAGTGACAAATTCAACTGGGAGAAGCAAAGAGGGGCTTTTTATGCCCTCTTTAAAAAAATTATTTGATTAAAAGGGAAACTGTGATAATAGGATCCACAGGGGCTACATGATAGGTGCTGCTTGGAAGAGCAACTGCTTCTCTTGCCTCTCTACACTCCATGACCTCAAGTGTTCTTCCAAACTCTTTGGATGAAATGTTTTCAATAGAATATTTAGTGAACTGTAAAGATTACCCCACATTGGCAATTGGGCTTCTAGCTTTTTTTCTAATTTATTTCTTCCATGGTTTGTTATTTGGTGTTACACATACTAGGCTGATTTTTTTTAAAGAATCTCTCTGTGATTGTGTTTTTAAGTTTAAATCTTTAGGTAAAACCAAACAATTTCTCTCCTGTCCACCCCCACCCCACATTGTATAAATTGACCTCTTCTGTTGTTAGACAAGAAGCATTATATTAAAAAATAAGGGGCTTATAATAGCATGCCTGAAAATAAGCTTGTCTTTCATTTATTTTTACTTGGACCAAGAAACTACAGGTTCAGCAAGTGCCTTGGCTATTATTCAGTAGTGAGATAACTGTTTCTAGTTAAAATATCCTAGGAAATCATTCAGAGAAAGAGCTACAATTATTTTCTCCACCGTTTTCTTTCTTCTCCTATTGACTTGTTATTTTTTCCTTTACATTTGCAATATTTAGTCATTCTTAACTTTCTCATTACACATTATTTATCTTTAGTTCTTATCATCTTTTGCTTTTTTCTTTTGACAAGATTTTTTAAAAATAATTAAATAAAATATAATACAAAGTATTAGAAAACATCACCCATAATAAAAGTAGGTATTTTGGGAAACTTCTGTTTTAAGTGTGTGTTGTGTGTTTGTAAGGGGTAAGGATATAAAATGTTTTTATGCTATGGTCAAGGTCAGTAGAATTTTGAGCCAGTGTGATTTCAAACACTTGAAGTGCCTCAGGGCTCAGTCCTCAGACTTCATTTTTTCTATCTTCACTAATTTCCTTGGTCATCTCATCCAGTCTCAAGGTTTTTGTTTTGTTTTGGTTATTTGATAAAATGTACATAGCATAATATTATCATTTTAACCATTCTATAAGTGTTCAATTCAGTGGTATTAAATATATTCACAGTGTTGTGTAATCCAGTCTCATGATTTTAAATACCATTTAAAATCTAGATTAGCTAGCCTAGATTTCTCCTCAAACACTAAGCTCATATATCTAACTGCCTATTTAGTATCTCCACTTAGATGTCTAATAGACATTTCAAATTATCATTTAAAAAACCTTTTTCAATTTAGTAGGTAAAAGTTATCTTTTACTAACTTTATATTTATTTCATTATGAGAACAATTGAACAGTTTTTCCATATGTTTATTGGTCATTTGCATTAGTTTTTAAAAAATAGACTTGCCTTTGTGTATTTTTCTTTTGGGTTTTTTAAAATCTCACTGATTTGTTTACAGTGTTAGCCCATTGTTGGATATATGGCAATTTCTCCCCAGTTTTTCAAAAGCAATTTATATTTCCTATACCTTTGGTGCAAGACAGTTTTATACTTTTTTTTTAAAAATCATGTTTATTCTATTACAGTTGTCTCAATTTTTCCCCTTTTGCCCTCCCTCCATCCATCCCACCCTGCCCCACTCTCCCACAGTCAATTCCCACTCTGTTGTCCATGCCCATGGGTCATTCATACATGTTCTTTGTTTAGCTCCTTCTCCTTCTCTCCACCATTGTCCTCCTTCCCCATCCCTTCTGGTGACTTTCAGTCTGCTCCATGTTTCCTTGCCTGTGGTTTATTTTGTTCGTTAGTTTATTTTGTTGAATAGATTCCACTTGTAGGTGAGATCATATGGTATTTGTCTTTCACTGACTTATTTCACTTAGCATAATATTCTCCAGTTCCATCCATGATGTTGCAAAAGGTAGGAGTTCCCTTTCTTTCTTTATTTTCATTTTAGATGCAGATTTTATATATATATATTTATTTAAATGTCAAGATCCATTATAAAATATTAAAAAATTTAAATCCATTATAAAGTCTCAGCAATTAAAACATGACGCCAGCACAGAAATAATCAAGTAAATCAATGAAATGAAATGAGCATTCTGGAAACAAATGTATGTATCTATCTAACAATGTAATATATGGTTAAGTTGATATTTCAGATCAATGGGGAAAATAAGGCTTATTCAACAAATAAGGTGCATGGACCACTATTACTTGAAATAAAACAAATATAGAGCCCTATTTCACAATTATACAAAAATATTCAGGTGAGTTAAAAATCAGTATGTAGAATTTAAGGAGTTTTAGGAGAAAATACAAAATAATATTTTTCTTACTCTGAAGTTAAATATTCAAACCCAAAAGCTATACAGTAAAATATTGACAATATGATTGTATTAAACATTTAAGACTATACAGTAATATACACATAAAAAAGTTAAAGGACAAGTAATAGAATAGGAAAATATTTGCAACACATCTAAAAAAAGGGTTAATCATTTTTTTTCTGTTTTTTCTTTAGGCAAAAATTTTACTAACATTTAATAAAAAAATCAATAAAGAATACCAAAAGTCATTTAAAGTGTTTTTTAAAATAATAGAAATAGCTCTTGGGGTCTGACCTACTTTGCAGCAAAATGGCTAAATGCACCAAGAAAGTCAAAATTGTCAGTAAATACAGCACCCGTTATGGCGCCTCCCTCAGGAAAATGGTGAAGAAAATTGAGATCAGCCAGCACGCCAAGTACACTTGTTCCTTCTGTGGCAAAACCAAGATGAAGAGACGAGCAGTGGGGATCTGGCACCGTGGCTCCTGCATGAAAACGGTCGCTGGTGATGCCTGGACCTACAACACCACTTCTGCTGTCACAGTAAAGTCTGCCATCAGAAGACTGAAGGAATTGAAAGACCAGTAGAAGATCCACAATTTGAAGCATTGCTAGCTGATAATAAATGGGTTAATTTATGTAACCAAAAAAAAAAAAAAAATAGGCAAGAACTATACAAAAACAGGTTTAGTTTCAACAAATAATAAAGGAACAATTAAAATAACACTTCATTGTCACAATCAGATTAATAAGTATTAAAAATATTGGTAATATCAAGTATTGGTGACTATGAAAGGAACTGGGTATTCATAGACTCTTTATCTTCATCTTCTTAAAGCAGTCCTTTTAGCATATCTTGCAATGCTGGTTTGGTGGAGATGTATTCTTTTAGCCTTCTTTTTTCAGGGAAACCTCTTATTTCACCTTCTATTTTAATTGAGAGCCTCACTGGGTAGAGTAGTCTTGGTTGCAGGCCTTTGCTTTTCATGACTTGGAATATTTCTTGCCATTCTCTTCTGACTTGCAGTGTTTCTGTTCAGAAGGCAGCTGCTAGGCTTACTGGGGCTCCCTTGTATGTTACTACCTGTTTCTCTCTTGCTGCCTTTAGGATTCTCTGTTTGTCTTTGATAGTTGCCATTTTAATGATGATGTGTCTTGGACTGGGCCTCATTGGGTTCCTCTTGAATGGGACCCTTTGTGCTTCCTGGACTTGCGTGACTTTTTCTCTCTTCAGATTAGGGAAGTTTTCCATCATTACTTTTTCAGGTGGGTTCTCTATCCCTTCCTCCTCTTCTTCTCCTCTGGTATCTCTATTATATGGATATTATTACATTTCAGGTTGTTGTGCATTTCCCTCAATGCCTCTTCATTCTTTTTGAGTATTTTTTCATTATCTTGCTCTGTCTGAGAGCTCTTTTCTACCTTGTCCTCCAGCTCACTGATTTGATCCTCTGCTCTGTCTAGCCTACTTTTGATTCCTTCTACTGTGTTCTTCACAAGAGATTGTATTCTTCATTTCCTCTTGTCTCTTATTGATAGTTTCTATGTCCTTTTTCATGCTATATAGCTTGCAGTAAGTTCCTCATAGTTTCCCTGTAGTTTTTGGTAATTCTCTCTGAGCTCACTGAGCTTATTGAGCTTCCTTATAACCATTGTTTGGAACTCAATATCTGATACTTTACTTGCCTGTATTTCATTTAGTTTTTTTCTGGTGAATCCTCCTTTCTCTGCGATTGCGGGATGTTTCTTTGTCTTCCCATAATTTGTGAGGCTCTTCTTTTTTGCTTCTGCTTCTTAAATTGATCTGTCTTGATTTCCTTACTTTGTGGTGTGAACTTCTATGGTAGGGAGCTGCTGTTTTTTTTTTCTGGATCTGCCTCTGATGATGTCAGCTGTTGACCCTGTTTGACCTTAGGCAATTTGTTTGAGACTTCCAGGAATCTACTGTCTGAGGCTGTCTCCTTCAGCTGTTAATCTATTCACTCTGCACTCAGCAGGCCGGCCTAGAGACACCACAGGGTGGGGCCAAGTCACTCCTGGGGGCGGGGCTATTGGGTTCTCTTATGCTGTTGCTGCTCAGGGGAGTGATCTGCCTCAGTAAGATGGTGGCTGCCTCATGGGGGAATGAGTCAGCACTGGGATCCCACCAGCTACTCTCTCAGTTCTCTCCCCAAAGCCTCCATCTCCAGTCTCTCCTCAGGCAGCCCACTCTGCCCTCGCTTTTGCCAGAGACCAGGGTAAGCGTCTGCAAACAAAAATTTATGTGTTGGCACTTTAAACGGCTCTTTGTTTCTCCAGCCACCTGTCTCTGGCCGAGAGCAGCCCTGCTGCTTTTCCAAGCTGGGTTATCTGTGTGCTTTTTGGGCTCTGGTGCTGTAGGCTGGAGATCCCTGCTTACGGTTTTGACCCCACTCTTCTCAGGGGGATCCAACTGGCCGTTTCAATATCCTTCTTGTGCTGCTGCATGTGGGCGCCCCACCCACCTTCTTGAGTCTCTACTGCACTCCTTACCAGTCAGGTTGTGCTAAAGCTGATTCCTTTGTCTGTCTGAGGTTATAAGGCTCCTCTCTCACTATTGCTCAGTTGTTTGTTCCAGGTGATTTCTCCACAGTTTAGTTGTAATTCCAGATTTGTCCTGGGAGAAGGTCAGTGTGACTTCCACTCACTGCTTTGCCCTCTTGATTCTCCCCAGTTTTATACTTTTATGTAGTCAGTGTATAGACCTCACCTTAATTGTTTTAACTTTCATGTAGGTTTAGCCATCCTTTCCCCAGACTAAGATTGTAAAGTCCCTGTCATCCTAATTTTTAATAGCTTTTCTCATGTATTTATTCTTCTTCCAGATGAAGACTTAAATCATTTTGTAAATTTAAAAAATCATTTAGGGATTTTTATTGGAATTTTGCTAAATTTAGAAATAATTTTTGGAAGAAGTCATAGATTTTAAAAATGGTCTTCTTGTAAAAAAAATTCATGATATGACTTTCTAATTTACACAACAATTTTATGTCCCTTGGTAAAGTTTGTAACTTGCTTCATGTAAAAGCTTAGGGCGATGGCTTAAAGTGGGGAGAATGTTCCAGACAAGGTGAGAGCATTTTTGAAGCCCCTAGGGGAGAAAGCAAAATGTTTTCTATTATATATGATGGGACTTGAAACACTAATTGTGGTATGGTATTTTTCCTCCCCCTCCTTCTTCTGCCCATTTAAGCAGACAGTCTCTATTGCCTTAGAAAAGAAATGTGATGAGGTGAAAAAGTGGAAAGCACTGGCTAATCTCCAGCTTTTGTTTTAAGATGATGCGACTTAAGATAGCAAACGAGGTGCAAATGTTAGCCACCTGCCTCTCAAAAATCTCAGGGAAACAAAAGCCTGAGGTCTTGGCTTCCTTGCTGGCTGTCAGTTGGGGACTACCCTTAGCTCTAGAGATCTTGGGTCCTTGTGCTCAGCCCTATACATCTCAGAATCAGCAATGGGGTGTCTAATTTTTCTCATACTATCATCTCCCTGACTGTTCTCCCGTCCTTTCATCATTCAGGGACCATGGCCCAAAAAGATTCTCTGCTTTTAAGAGACCACTGATACTCTCTACATTTTGAGGTGCAGAGCAGACTGGAGGAGAGAGGAGAGTAGATCTGGAGGGGCTGCAAAAGAGGAAGGAGCAGGCTTAGAGAGTCACTATAGTTGAGTGCTTGAAAAACGGTATCCCTATAGCTACCCTCAGCCATTTTTAACACCAAAACCTCACCACAGTGTCTTTCACCTAGGACAAACCCCTGTGTTTATCCTTAGATAGCTGTACTGGTCTCAGCTTGGCTGTGACCCACCCAGACCCTGCTGCTGAGTGGTCCTCCTCTCCGCCCCTTTGGGGATGATCTTCACCTCCATAAGATGGCCTGGGTTAGAAAGACAGGGACCTTTGTGGCCTCATCTGCAGCACTGAGATTCTAAAACTACTGCTCTTGAAGCCATGCTTCTTGCTGACTGCTATGAGTAATTTTAACCTTTTCCACGATGCCCTTGGTGTCATTTCCATTAAGGCCCCAAAAAGGTGCTTAGGCATGAAAAGACACTGGCCAAGTGGAATCCTCCTTGAACCCCACACTGTTTAGCCCCACTGTGGCTATGGCCTATCAGACTTGGTAGTCTGCTTCCACACTAAGTGGTCCTTACCCGCCAACCTCCCACACATATACATACCAGCTGGTCCATCCTGTTCCAACAGTACTCGGACACTCCCATCCCCACCCCACCCCAGAAACAGCACCCGTAACTAGAAAAAGCTCTTCACATTATAGATTGAGAGTCTTTAAAAAAATTGGTATGATGTAATTGTATCTTTCCAAAACTAGTGCCTTATCCCTTCCCACTTCACCCATATGATTCTGGTGGGGGTTTCCGTTACTGTAAACACCCCATCCTGGCCAGGGGGGGCATATTTCAGCATATCCAAATGAGTTTTCTTTCTTGGGTTTTTCAAATGTAACAGGAAGGAAAGATTCTTTTCCAGCTACTAAGCAACTGGCTTGCCCCATGGAGAAAACCCATCTTCAGCTGGAAGTACAAAGCCGAAGTACAGAGGGAAGCAACCATGAGAACTGGGAAGAGAAAAGAAGATGAGAGAGCCTTGTTGGCATTGAATCTCTGGATCTGCTCATCCTGGAAGTCAGCTCATCACCTGTCCTTTCTTCATGTTGGTCACATGAGTCAATCGGTTCCCCTTTTTGCCTAAGGCACTGTAAAATGAATTCCTGCCACTCATAACCAAGACTCTTGAGTTGGAGTCATGGGAAACATGTCCCAAGTTAGCCCAATAGCTAACTAAATATGGTTTTAAAATATCAGCAAGACAATAACATCTAGAAACTCTATTACTCTGGGAAGGTCTAACACTGCCCAGCCCTGCCTACCTTCTCTGGGCTAGGCTCAATGAAGTATGTAGTAATGGAGATAGCGCCTGGTGTGATGTCATAGAGCCAGCTGATACCAGTGATCACAACATGCAGGATGTGCTCCCGGCTGTGGACGTAGTGATAGGCCTTGCTAAAGACATTGGCAACACCCTGTAGAGACAGAAAGTTTTAATTGCCCTTTCTTTTTATATTAAAATAGCAAAATAATTAGTAATGCATCAATTAGATTATTTTATTCATTAATGATATTCTACTTCCTACAAGTTATTCACCAATTCTCAGAAGGCAGTGTTCTAGCTTCTACTATGAAAAAATAAAAAGAATCATCAAGAAATCAAAGGTGTAAGAAGAAATCTACCATAAGGTCCACATAACTTATGTTTCCTGATAATCATCCAGTGAAATTTGTGATAGGTACATCCAGAAAACAGTTCCAGAAGAACAAAATAAACTTTGAAGTGAGAAAAAAGTGCTTAGAAGCCAAGAACTAATATCAGCCTTGGGCAGATGGGTAGGAGCTGCCCTGGTCTGATGCAATAGTAATGTCTGCATCTTCACTTGGCTATTGTCGTCAGCTCTGCAATACAGGATGTGTTGAGTGTCAAAGCCTGCAACATGCTAGATTACACAGTCTTCTTATAGGACAAAGGATCCTATTTCATAGAGAAGCAATGAGAACTCCTTAGAACTCATCTGTGGTCTTGTTGTCAAGAAACCTTAGGAACAACAAATTCCTTAAAAATAAATGTATTTTATATTAGGACCTAAGGCATCTAAGGTTAACGCAGGAACTTTTACCTCCAAGGACTAGAGGATCAGTTTGTAATTCATTTTGACATGTTCTCTAACAAAGCTATGTGTATATATAGTTCACCTACTGACAACTCCATATTCCTCCATTTTGTTCTTAATATCGTCACATCATTATGTAGATGAGAATGAATCTTATTAAAAAGATGTCCAGAGAAAGATTCAACCACTTTCCATTTACTCATCCAGTAAGTGGAAAATTTTAAAATAATGGTAAATAAACATCAAGAGGCAAGGACTTACGGGGAACAAATGATAAGGGCATAGCAAGTTCCTGGTTGCTGCTGCACCCCAGTCCATTGCCTCAGTGAAGGCTTTTGGTTCCCCTTCATTGCATTTTCTATTCATAAAATTAAATTTAAATGCTTTAAAAATGATCCAGTTATTTTATAGTATTAGAAGAGCCTAAAGCTTAAGCTCTTTCCCTCATTCTTCATTCATTCTTCGTTCTCAAAAATTACAACACTGATACCAAGAATTAAGGGAATGCATATCATATTTAGCACCATTTGTGGAAAAAACAAAGGATTTCCAGGTACTGTTATTAATAAGACATAAATATATCCTTTCTAAAAGTTCATTCCTAATGTGTAGGTATTAGTGATCTAATAGTTGGATTTTGGTTCTATAGCATAAAATTCTTTATATGATTAATTCAATGGGATATATACTAATAATCTTCCCAGAGAGCCTTAGGCATAGAGGTGCAACTGAGGCTGAGTTCTTCCATGTGTAATGGGGAACCTCTCCAAAGACTGACATACACACAGGGAACTGGAACCAGTATGATGACACTGTCTACATATTGTACACAGCTCTACCCTAACCTACTTTCAGGTTTTGCTTTTTAAAAAGTATAGAAGGAGAGGCCATCCTAACATTACTATTGAAGAATTTTCCTCTGACTTACCTGATAGAATCTGATCTCATGAGGCAAGAAGATGTTGATTTTCTGAGGATCTCTAAGGGTGTCAACAGCCATGACCCCAAAAATCCTCAAATATGCATCCTGAAGAGGCAAAGCAAGCAATGACCCATTTTGATCAGTCTTCTGGCGGGAATCGTTCCAGAAAAAAATGTTCCCATGGTGCTGAACTTGGGGGACGTGTATTGGCTTCCCTTCATCTACTACTGTAAAGCTGAAGAAAAGGAACATTAGGATGAGAGAAAAGCACAGGAGGGGCTTTAGATTAAACCACTCAGGGAAGGAGATCAATTCTCCACAATCATTGGCATTGTAAAATTACCTGTTTGGAGAGTCTGACTTGAAAGATTTAAAAAACAAGCTCAGACCATAACAGAGATAACATATAGACAGGAAGCAGTCACAATTAATAGAGCAGGAATAACTGAGCTAATATTGTGAAGCAGAGTCCCTACATGGTGACTCAATGCCTAAGGTGAGCTCTAGAAATGATCAGGTGAAATCACCTGAGACTGGAAACCCATCACCTCCCATTCTAGAAACATTGGTGACCTAAGGCATCGCTCTCAGGCAGCTAACTAGGATTTCAATGCTAGCTTACTTCAGGAAGGGAATTGTTATATTTTTTAGAAGGCTGAAAACAACCTTTTCAAGAAATCCTTACCTGATTCCTTTCATGTCCCTGTAGAGCACTTTGTTTAGTACAAACGGAGCATCATCTAAAGTACAAGCTACATTCCTTAACAGAACAGTCCCTCTATCAGGCAGTAGTAGGTTTTCTTCTAAGAGGGAAATGTGAGCACTGATCTTCTTATTTCCATGGGTTTGAGCATCCTACAGCAAAATGTTTCAGATCATGCATTTGCCAATAGCTATTCTCTTGTGTCTCCATTCATTAGCCAGTTTGTGCATCTGACCCCAATAATTTCATTTTCATGAGTAAATAATGAACATATTACCATTCATGGGCAGTCCCCCAAACCTGAGTTTTAGTGAGTGGAATGAATTTATGCCAACTGGACTAGTTTACTAAACAAACAAACAATTCTCAAAGCCTACTCAAATCTACAGGTTTAAAACTTGGATTCCTTTGAACTACAGTCATATTGTCTGGGCTTTAGTTAAAAGTATTTATTTTAGAGAGGTGGTGCAAGAAGATGGCTTTATTCCACTCATTTCTTATCCATCTACTATGATGTAAACATGAGAAAAGTGCTCTCAACTAATTCTTAACATAGTTTGGCTATTAATTTGATTTATGTCATTTTAGGAAAGGATATCTTGGGGCCCCAGATTGCAGACTTTATGCAACTCTATTTCTAATTGAAATAACTGAAAATTCTCTGTACCTAAAATATTGTTATGTCACTAAGAATATTATGTGTTAACACATATATTAAACATGTCCATAAATTGGGGGGGGGGGGTGAGAGACACTTTCCTTGATATTTGTCTCCTCTTTCTATATATTGGAGTTTGCTTTTCTTGACTTTTTTCTTCTGCTTTTCTTTCTTTCTTTCTACACAAATGATCTATAGAGTAACTAACAAAAATGTGGTACTGCAGATTTCTGAAGCCAGTTGGAGTAATAGCTCTTTTTCTTGATTGGTCTCCTGTTCCTAGTCATATCATTTCAAACTACATTGGAAACTTCAGCCATTCAGGAGATGATTCCAATAATCAAGACTGCTATTTAGCTGAGCTGAATGACAAGGGTGCCTAGATCGATAGAATCTGTGATATATGTAGGAGATAGCCATGCTATTACAATCTGGGAGGAGCAGCAAGCTGGATTCTCTGAGGGAGTGGCAAAGCTGTCAACAGGGACCCAGCAGGGTAATGTGTTTTAAGTGACCAAGTTCTGTTATAGACTCAGTTTGTTTCTAGGCAGTGCTATGAAAAATTGTGTGAGGTTGGATTCAACTTTATAGTAACTTTATGATTTAAACAGTTCCTTTTTTAACTGAATCCCAAAATATCATGCAAGGGAAATGCAGCTTGATCTTCTTGCACATTTCCCTACTGGTATTTTTCAGTATGAGTCTATTTTGTGATTTAAGTTTATTTGAATGTGAGCACAAATGAAATTTGAAATCCCAAAACATGATTCTTTTACATCTGTACTTTCTGCTTCTACCTTGCCAACCTGCAATCATTACAACTGCATCTTACCTAGGCTTTGGGTCATTGCAATGTATTAAAATGAGTAAAAAATGTATAGCAGTACCCAACATATTTTAAGAGAATTTAGTGTGCTCTTCCTTTGCAACCATTGAACATTGCCTACTATGAAGAAATTTTTCTTCTTATATATCATTTTGGGAAATATACCTGTGTGAGGGCCTTAAAGGTCTCAGTGTACACTGGTTCCAGGGAAACCCCACTTGTTTCGGCAGCCCGTTGAATTTGGTGCAGCCACTTCCGTCTGGCACTATTTCTCAGACTATCAGTATGGTTCCTCTCTAAAGCAGTCATCAGAAACTCCACAAGGCTTTCCAGAACATGATCTTCATTGCCCTTGTGTTCAGATACAACCAATTCTATGTATTTCTGAAAGTGTTTTGAAGACAGCCGTACTTCATCACCAGGATGTGGCTTTGGGAATTGGATGTGTAGTTTAGCTAAAAGATACAAACACAAAACCAAGGACTAACCAAAAGCTCATTTATCTGAGGGGGAATTTTTATTCTCCTCTTATAGCAAACTGAAGTGTCTGACAATGGCTCCTATGGAAAATCAGGTATATCAAAGGCATCTAAGCCCAACAGAACATCTTACAGTGACTTCCTACTCTAAGCTCAAGACGACTCCTGTGTTGTCTTCTCTGTTGTTTTTTAAAAAATTCTACCACTTAGGTGAAATTCCAGGTTTAACTTTGATTCCTCCCTACCTTTTATTGGGTTGGCCAAAAGTCCATATGTTTTTTTCTGTAAAATAAAAAACATTTTTCATTTTTTTTCCAGGTATAGGATTATAACACCTGCAAATAGACAAAGTTTTATTGCTTCACTTCCTTTCTAATACAAATGCTCTCATTGTTTTCTCTTGACTGCTTTGGCTAAAATGTCTAAAAAAATAATATTATCAGACATCCTTGTCTTATTTTTTATTTTAGGAGACAGTGTGTCACCATTTAATAAGAAAGTGTGTTTATTATTAATCAAGAATGGGTGTGGAATCTGTTGAATGTTCTTTTAATATGTTAATCATAACATTTTTAATTTTCAACAATAATTTTATTGATTTGGATATTTTGAACATGTCTGCTATCTCCTTCATGGTGTGGCATTGGTTGTTCTCAATTAAAATCTCGATTTGATCTTTGGTCGTTAACAATTGCAGCTGGTCCACCCTACTGTAGACCATCATCCAGCAAGAGATCTCCAGCATGAAACTTTACAAACCACTTTTGACACATTCCATCAGTCACAGCACCTTCTCTGTGCACTGCACAAATCTTCTCTTGCATTTCAGTTGTGTTTTTACCTTTCTTGAAATAATAAAATGTAATATACTGAAAATGTTGTGTATTTTCTTCCACCTTTACTTTTAAAATGGCTACACAAAAATTCACTAATTTTTATGTTTTTTAATGCATATTGATATGACAGGTGTCACAACACAAACTAATAAAATTTTTATGAATGAAGTTAAAGACAACTAAGTGCTACTAAAGCCATCTTACAGAAAAAGCCAAACAAAATTTTTGGCCAACCAATACCTTCCATTTCCAAGAGACCACTTAATTCTATCCTGTTAGTCTTTGACAGTGTATCTGGTGGACATTCCTCTCCATTCCTATTTTCATAGTCCCAAACCAGTATTAAACACTTTATAATTGGATTACCAATGATAAAGCTCAATACATATTTATAAAATTAAATTAAAACACCACTTCCATTATGCAATTCCCTGCTTCAAAGTATATTTGGATCCTGCCCATTTTCCAATAATATTCCTATAATAATTTCCAGTAATATTCCTATAATACCATATAGGAATTATTTGCTTCAGCATCCCCGTTTTTCTCATGATCTCTGGCCATGCCTTGCACACTTCTGTACCCACATCTCTCTTATTTTTTTATACTACAATCATTATCTACTACCACATCTAAATATTACCAATACCTTACATCTTCCTCTATGCCCCTGCCATTGTTCCACTCCCTGCCTCCCATACCCTGCACCAATATCCTGAAATTTTGCTTTTGATTTTTTTCTCTCCTTTTATTTTCCCATTGGCATTATCATATGTGATTGTGTGTACATGTACACAGGTGTACTTCTAAACAATATGTATTTTAGTTTTGTCTGTATTCTTTAGAAAAAGGGCATCATACTCTATTTAGTTTTCTGGGACTTGCTTTTTTATTCAACATTATGCTACTATATACATCCATGTTGTTCCTGCAGCTGTTACTCATTCATTTTCACCACTATACAATGTCATTATGTAAGAATACCACCATCAATGTATTTATTCTCTAATCAGTGAGACTGTAGGTTATATCCCATGTATTGTTCTTATGAATAGCACTGTGAGCACTTTTGTACATGTTTTCTGGTGCACATGCATAAATTAAAAGTTCAAAATCTGTCCTTCCTCAAGAAGGTTTCCACCTGAAAGATAATAGCATCCATTCTATATCAAATATTTGACAATTAACAAATATTTCCCCTTTTAGTCATCTTATCATATGAAAGCATCTCATTTCTAGAGTTGGACTTTTGTTGATTTTTGCTCTTTAGCATCCACTCATCTTTCTCCTGGTAATGGTACCCCAAATTTTGCTTTGTGGAAACTGCTCTAATCCCATGTCAGGTCATATGTTTGAGTGAGGTTCCACTTGTGGATCTAGAGGTGAAGCATGCATCCCAGATCTAAGCCAGTCAGAACATTCTGTTCCCCTAACCAGAGCAGTTGGTTTAGTACAGAGGTATGCCAGACTCTTTATTTAAATTAAGGAAGAAGTTTTTTCTTTCTTATTCTCACTGGACTTGAATAAACCTGTGAGGATGTGAGAGTGAACCTGGTCGCAACAAGGGGAAAGGGTATGTGAAAATGGAGTCAATAGATAGAAGAGAATAGGGCCAGACTGAAAGAGAAAAAAAGAGAAAGTGAGAAAGGAGATAATTGTCCTAATGCCATTATTTGAATTCCCAGATCTAGTTGTGTCCTGAACTAGCCCTGAACTTTTCCATTACACGAACCACTAAAATCCTTCTTTGCTTAGCCATTTAGTGCTGGGTTTTTTTTTCTTTCTTTCTTTTTAACTTGGACTAAAAGGGTCCTAACTCATATAGTCTCCAGTTAGATTAAACATAGCTTGTGGGTTCTTCCTCTTCTATATTTTTCTTCTTCTTCTCCTTTCATTCCTTTCTTCTTGAACAATTTGGTCCTAAAGCCATTAGGTGGAGTGGAGCAAGGTAAGTATCTGCTCCTGGTCAAAGGAAGCCATAGTGGCCCAAAGCAGTGTATCAGAATCCAAGGGGGCAAGGAGGGCATCTGTGCAGGAAGTGCCTTGGTATGGGTTGTCAGAGCCCAAGCAGGGTAAGGGGGTTATCTGTGCACAAGAGCAATTGTAAGCCCACATAGGCCGTTTAGCTTAAGGTATCAGAACCAAAAAAGGATAATGAGGGTGTTCCCAGGGGATGTCCAACATGGAGTATCTAAGCCGGAGCAGGGTGAGAAGAGAACCCAAACGGAAGGCCAGTCTGGCTTGGGAAGTCAGAACCGAAACAGGGCGAGGAGGGTGTCCGTGTGGAGGGGCAGCCCTGCATGGGGAATCAGAGCCCAGGCAGATGGAGGGGGACTGCCAGGCGGAGAGTCTGCTCAGCATGAGGAGAGGCAGAAGCCTGGGTAAACCAAGGAGGGCCCCTGCGTGAAACGGCGCCTCGTCCTGGAGTGCCAGAGCTTAAGGAGTGTGTGAAGGGCGTCCACATGGCGGGGTGGTCTGGTGTGGGGTGTCAGAGCCTGAGCAGAGTGAGGAAGGAAACTGTGTGGGAAGGGCTGATGAGTACAGGGTGCTGGAACTTAAGTGTAGAGATGACATCAGTGTGGAGGGGAGGGGAGTGTGGTGGGGGATTAGTTCCATTCGGGGAGGTTGATCAAATAAATACAGTCATGCGCCTCTTGACGAGAGGGATTCATCTGAGAAATGTGTTGTTAGGCAATTCTGTCATTGTGAGAACATTATAGGGATGTACATACCCAAACCTAGATGGTATAGCCTACTACACACCTCGGCTCTATGGTATAGCCTGTTGCCCCCAGGCTACAAGCCTGTATAGCATGTGACTGTACAAAACAACAAAAGTCAAGCACAACAGAAAATGATGCAATCAAGAGATGCAGTGAAAACAAGATATATGAGGCTGCTGCCATTGTAACATAGCACACTGTTTTATAGCAAACTTTTTTTCTATATGTAGAAAGAGTACACTCTAAATTAATGATATGTATAATACAATAAATATATAAACCAGTAATAGAGCCATTTACTAGTAAGTATTATGTACTATACATAATTATATGTGGTATACTTTTATCCAACTGGCAGTGCAGTAGATTTGTTTACACCAGCATCACCACAAACATGAGAATAATGTGCTAGGCTGTGATGTTCCAATGGCTATGATGTTACTAGGAGATAGAAATTTTTGAGCTCCATTATAACTTCATGGGAACATTGTCATATATGCAGTCTGTCGACTGAAATGTCATGTGGTGCGTGATTGTAAGTGTATTTAGGATAATATGAGCAAGATAGCAGAGAGCTACAAAAAAGAGAGAAAACTAGAATGAACCCTCTGGTATTGGACTGGACTTTAAGGTATGGGTGTGAACTTATGATTTTTTTATATTAAATGATATTTACAGAGATATGTACAGATAAATGTTTGTGTACACACACACACACACACACACACACACACACACGTACACATATTCCCTTTAAGAAACTTGGGGTTAGGGACCTAGGAGCAATAAGCATGTGTAGAACCTAGATCTTGGCTTCTAAATGCCATTCTTCACGAAAAGAAACCAGGGACAAGTAAGTGATTTCAGGGAGCAGGGAGAGTATAAGGTGAACATAGAAGATTCCATTGTTCCAGAAAGCAAGGAGATGCTCAAAGAATAATGAACACACCTTAAAAGGACACAGAAAACTGTCTGGCAGTTTCTTATAAACAGATAAGAACAGATAGTACACTTGATCTTAGCCAAAAGGCTGAGAAGCGATGGCAGTTTCTTATAAAACTAAAGATACTACCCCGGGGCCAAGAAATTCTACTTCTAGGTATTTTATCTGAAAGAAATGAAAATGCCCTGACCAGTGTGGCTCAGTTGATTGGGTGTCATCCTGCAAACTGTGGTTTGCAGGTTTGATTCCTTGGTTGGGGTACATGCCTGGGTTGCGGGTTAGGTCCCTGGTCGGGTATGTGCAAGAGGCAACAAATTGATGTTTCTCTCTCACATCGATGTTTCTCTCCCTCTCTCTCCCTCCCTTCCCCTCCCTCTAGAACAAATTTGAAAAAAAGAAAAAGAAAAAAGAAAAGAAATGAAAACACATATACAATTATTCATATATGATTATTCATAGCATCTTTATTGAAATAGCCTAGAACTGGGAACAGATGTTTACCAACTGAAGAATGGAATAACTGTAGTATATTTATACAATGAAATACTACTTAGCGATAAAAAGAAACAAATTGTTGATAATGCAACAACATGTAAGAAACTCAAGGAACAAATAAGGGAGTGAAAGAAGCCTCATTCAAAAGAATACATGTCTTACTTATATGAAGCTCTAGAAGAGATAAAACTAACTTATGGTGAAAAACAACCAGAAGAGTGATTGCCTTGGGAATTGGGTAGTGGGGACTGAATGAAAAAGAAGCATGTTTTTGTTTGGCACTTTGATAGGGATATGGGATACACGGGTTATAAATTTGCCAAAACTCAGTGAATATACACTTGAGAATTTGTGTATTTCATTGTGTGTAAATTTTACCTCAAAAGAAAATAAAACCATTAGCATATATTGAACTCTAACTAATGATATGCATACTGAAGTATTCAGGAAGGAGTGTTTTATGTCTGTAATTTAATGTGAAATGCATCAAAAGTAAGAGAAATGCAAGGACAGATAGATGGAGACATGAATAGATAGATAATAAAAAAAACTGTAGGAAAGTGTTAATGATATAAATCTAGGTGGTAGGCATATATATACTCATTGTAAAATTCTTTCAGCTTTGCTGTATGTTTAAAATTTTTTATAATAAAATATTGGAGGGGAGGGGAGGACACAGGAGACAGATTGAAAGGACTTCTATGGATCAAATCTAGTACAATATGAACATTAAAATAAATAATGATAGTGTTGGATTATAACCCACTGAATAAAATAGGAAACCATGAATACCTAGTGTCATGCATGAACAAAAGGTTTGACACGAAAGGGAATGTTTATATGCTTTCAAATTACCCACAAAATACTTATTAATTACAAAAAGAAAGAAAAGTAATTTTAAAACAGCATGAGATTTCTGATGGCATTCAATGAGAACACAGCTTATATGATATTCTTGCCAAAAATGAACAACCTGAATTTAATTATGAGGAAATATTAGATAAACCTAAAAAAAGAAAAAATTAACAAACAACCTGTTAAAGTATGAAAATCAAGGAAAGACTGAGGAGTTTCTTAGAGATTCCTTGTTCCAGAGAGAAGAAGCAGCAGTAGTTTTACACTACTTGTCCAGATTTAACTACTTGTCTAATTTATAAGATGACTAAATTTTGAGGATCCAATGTACAGCACAGGGACTTTAGTTAACAATGCTGTATTATACACTTGAAAGTTGCTAAGAGTAGATATTAAATATTCTCACCACACACAAAAAAATAGTAATTATGTGAGGTGGAAGTTTTAACTAACACCACTATCGGAATAATTTCACAATATATGAATGTATTGAATCAACACATACATCTTAAATTTATATATTGTTATATGTCAGTTATATCTCATAAAGCTGAACAATTCATAGTCATACTAGAAGGTGTTAAGGTGGTGTCTTGTGGTTTTAGAACAACCAATGCCTAATTGTATGTCACAGTATTGGGAAACTTGAAGCCAAATTGTTACCACAACTTAAATAAGAAAATTCTTGTATTTTTACCTGTCTCTATGGATTTTTTTTCCATTCCCTCCTTGTATGTATACAAGAGTTCATCAACTTCCTCCAGATCCAGGAAACCTGAGCCATCACCGTCCCACATCTGAAAGAGGGCTTCTAGGAGAAGTCCCCGTCGAACTCTGGACGCATTTTGTCTCACCTGGAATACGAACAGGAAAACGAAGCACAGAAGACATGCTTTTTCTTTGGACTAGCTAGCATCCTGTTTATTCCCCCCCAAAATGCAGTACTTCTTATAAAAAGAGCTTTACTTTGGGACTAAGCATGATATTAATGGAATAATGAAGCATTTAATTTTAATCCTCTAAATAACATTTCTGTTTCATCTCTCGACCAAAAAAAAATTTGCATTTTCTGCACTGGATTAAAACACAGTAATTTAGGAAGAGGACTATACTCCGTTAGAGTCATTAATTCTTTCCTTTCCACTCCCTCACTGGTAGTTCAGGAATCTGATAAACACAGGAGTGTTTGGCCTGGCTTCTTGGTGGGATATGTTTTGTAGTGAAGGGAGACAAATATCTGTGTTCAAACAATAAAAAATGACTGTGTTCAAAAATTCTTTTTTATATTTAACATTGACCTAACTTGACATTAATTACATTTTAGACTTTTACTATATTAATCATATCAATTAGACAGTAATTTAATTAATAAATAGATTTAACTGTTAAAAGAAAATGAATAAGTACCATTTGGTTAAATGGGGGAGGGGACTCAATTGAGGAGGCAAAAGGGATATCGACTCCAGAATTAAGTTGATAAGACTCTTAAGGCTGATGAGATTACTGAATGTGCCTAGTGAATCCAACTTACATATTTCATATAAGAGCACATAAATTGTTTATATCAGCTAATGTGTGTGCATTTACCTAGCACCTAAATAAGTAGTAAGTTCTTATAAAGTATGTACTACCTGGGTGCAGTGCAAATGAATAAAAATACATATTTAAGCCATAATCAAACCCTAGGTATGTGCATTTGTAAATGCACTCACATGACACACACAGTGCACACACAGACACACATGTGCACATATTCTTGTTCATACACATATCTACTCCTTAGAATCTGCTTTTTAGGCTTCAGTGAAAGAAAAACACAGCTCTACAAAATGATCTCCTGCCACCAGCAATCATGATATTAGGGGAATGAGTTCTCTAGAGTGTGATCTTAGAACATTTGACCACAAAATATTGAATGGCCATGCTCATTGAAATAGTGGTAAATTGGGTTGTAAGTTTTTAAAGAAAAGCCTACTAGGAACTGGGATTGAGAAATTTACTTATAATAGTGACCTCACTTGTTTCATTGATAAACAATATTACCCACCTCTTCTAAGGCACTCATTTTCTCTTCTTCTGTTTCAGCATAGCTCCCCTTAAAAAAGGAGGTGAGTGTCTCACTGACACTCAAAGGGGCATCTCCGCCAACAAATGTCTCAAGGAGTTGCACAAACTGGACCAGATTGAAGGAAACTGCATTGAAGGCACTCCTACCTTTCACTTCTTTGTAAGACTGAATATTTCTGATAATTGGATGTAGGTCTATCAAGCAGGAAACATACACCAAACAGTAAAGTGAAAAATTTTTTCAAAGGTTAAGAAAAAGCAGTACTTCTTGTAATGGATATCTGCTATTATTTTCCTTTCAGAAACCCATGCTCCCTTTCTGAGGACAGCACCTTTCTTTTTTTTATTTGACATGTTTTCATAGAATTAATGTTTCTTCCCCAGTGTCAGTTTAGATAAATCAATGGTGCTTAACCTCTCTCACCCTTGCCCCTGGATGGCCACGTGGTATAGTTTGGGTCAATGATTTGTATATAACAGCAACAGGCTACAAGTCAATGAGAATTAGACCCAGAACTTTCGGGGGATCTCCTGGGGGAAGAACCATTCTTTTTGTACTCTGGTTTCTAAACTGGTAAGATGTAGGCTTAGAGATATTCTCATGGACATCTTTGTCATAGTATGGAAAAAACAACCTAAAACTGAAAGTTACAAAGAGAAGAACAGGGTTGAGAGGCAAAGAGACAGTGTCCTGCTGCTGTACGTGAGCCCTTGGATTCAATTGTATCCAAAATCAGTTGTAATCTGAGCTGGCCAGTTAAATAAGTCTGTAAATACCAGCATGGTAACCTCTTCCCCAAAGAGTCTTTACTGTGTTTCTCTTGAAGCTCAATGTTATGCCATGAAGCATATTTCATAAAATTTTAACCTGGTGACTTACGTTTGATTTATTTGTTGATTTAATTATCTATGCCCTTATGACTTCCATATGAGATCTGACATAACTTAAAAATAATCACCCATGCATTTTTTTCAAATAGTAAAGCAAATTGAAATAAAGATGTAAGACCAGGAGAAGAACATAAACTAGCAGACCACAAGAGCTGGACTAATGCTGTGCATTTTCACCAAAATATTTTGAGGATAGAAAGTTTACTATTTGACCCATACTTAAATAAGAAAAAAATTGCAGGTAAGAAGAAAATGATCTTGATCTAATTAGCTTTACTACTTGTCAATGAAATGTAAAATGATAAAATAGCATTGTAGTAAAATATAAGTACTTGTTGGAATAATCACTGTTAAATACATGGTTTATCTGAGAGCTAAAAGCTACTGTTTGCTCTCTCTGTTGAGCAGATCTTTCTCTATAAGTCTTCAAAAACAATCTGTATTCTTACTGTCTCACATATTTGGATGTGAAACTACCAGGGAGAGGAATAGCCAAAATGATTTCTACTGAGTAGTAATATCTAATATCTGATTCCCTTTGTATTCCTGGATCATAGCTTCAAAGCAGCTATTGGGGCCATGTAATTAATGATTTTAAAAAACTGCATATTAATGCATATGTTTTTAAACACAAGGACATTTATAAATAGTACATTCCTACTACCACCAGAAATATTCATCTTGCATATTTTTAGGTCCGTCAGCTCAGGGACAAAATAATGCAAAGTTCACCCTGCTGTTGTGCCTTGGCTAAGTCCAGTCTTCATCATGTGGTATCACAATAGATTAAATTCATCAATCAGACTGCAATTTTTCCTTTCTAATTTTGTTGTTAACATGTACCTGTGAACCTGGAGTTACCATAGATTAAGTTTGCCTGTTCCTCATCTTCATATTTGGCATACTTCTTCCAGTTACAAGAGAAAAGTTCACCTATAAAATACACATTCCATAACATAGGCAGTTTAACTTCACTTTCACAATGTTTTTGTTCTAGAGTATAAATAAAAGAAGGATCAAATGAGTCACCTGACCATGACTTTCCTTCTACTTGGGGGGACTTGGGTTCACAGGCTTTGTCTTTCTGAACTTTCTCTTTTGCAGTTTCTAAAAGGTACAAAGGAAACTGTAAGTTGGACATTATATTTTCTTAGGTTAACGAACAAGAGAATTGCCTTGCATATAGAACACTGAAAACTTTCTTTCAGTACTTTCCCATATACGTTGTGTCATAATCAACCACAATGATATTAGTTAATAACTCTAGTTGTTGAGAGAAGCTCTGTGATGAAAGCTATTTGTTGTACCCCAATTTGGCCATGCAAAATGAGAGCTACATTTCCTAGCCTCCCTCACAGCTAGGTGTCACTATATGCCTAAATACTGACCAACGATACGTGAAAGGAAGTGATGCGGTGCCTACCTATTTTCCTTTCTTACCATCAGGTCACAGTGCAGACATGGCAATAAGCCATCTTGGACCATGTGGTTGGAGGAGACACAAGATAAAAGGAGCCTGAGACATTGAAGATTTCATGAAACTGAGCTGTTATATAAATTTTGACCTTTGGACGAGAAAGAAAGACACTCCTATCTTATACAGACGTTGTTATTTTGTGTTGTTTCTGTTTATGTTTTTCCAAACACTGTCATTTTGGATCACTGTTACACATAGCCAATATTAAGTCTTCACTAACATAACATGTAATTGAATAATAACCACTAATTTTTTTTAAAACTGCACTCCTATGTAAGGAGAGGCAGAAATTAGTAGCTCTGTTTTGTGGAGAAATAAACATGATGCTAAAAAATAAAAGATTTCAAATTAGTTAATGATAGTGTAGAATCTAAACCACAGGTTACCAATCTCTTAGAATTTCCTTTGGTACTGTAGAATTAAGGAGCAGAGCTTTAAAATATTTATGCCTAACTGAGATCTTCAGTGGTATTGGGATTGGCTCTCTAAAAGTTAAAATTTTCAAAAAAGGTCATAAATTGGCACAGGCAATTCAGAGGAAAAGTTTTCTACAGAATAAATATTTTAAAAGCAGGGTGCTTTCTGTGTTACATATGACTTTCAGAAACACTTCTAGAACACATATCTCATATACAACTAAAAAAAGCAAGATTCATTTATAGTTGAAATAAAAGAAATGTTTAAAAAGTAGTTTCTAACATCAGATACCACATTTAAAACAAAAGGGCTTCTACTGAGTTTTTAGAGGTCCAGTGCAAATTTCTTCATGTAACATTACCAGATTTTTCCCTTACAAATGGGTTTCTAGTATTAAAGAAATTCTAGGTAAATAGACAATAGAAACTTTCTAGTTTGCATTTACTCAATTGTTCAAGGTCTAGACTCATGCTGAGTAGCAAAATATGTCTCGGATTTGCATGACCTCATGTGCCAGAAAATATCCTAATTGAAATGAGTGTTTTCTGAAAAGACTTTAAAAACCACTCCACAAAACAGAGAGATAATGTAAGAGAGCTGCACCACTACCTGAAAGGTGGTCTTTTCTACTTGATACTGGATCATCCTCTTGCAGTTCAGAAAAGGTGAATAGTTTCTCTTCATATATTTGCTCCTGAGTGTTCTCTTCCTGTAGAGGGATTTCAGTGTGCTCAAAGGGAGTAGGCTCCCCAGATTTTTCACTTTCTCTTAGGATACTACTTTCCCTTGATTGTGAAGTTGAGTCCATGCCATGTTCCTCTGGAATTGTCTCTCTGGGTTGTTCTTGTTCTTCAGTTGATTCTTTATGTGTTTCTCCTATTATTGACTGTCTGCGTGACCCTCTCCGTGATCCTTTTCGTGTAACTGACTCTCTGCGTGATCCTTCTTCTGCAATTGACCCTCTGCGTAATCCTTTTTGTGTTACTGACTCTCTGCGAGATCCTTCTGCAATTGACCCTCTGCGTGACCCTTTCTGTGTTATTGATTCTCTGCGAGATCCTTCTGCAATTGACCCTCTGCGTGACCCTTTCTGTGTTATTGATTCTCTGCGAGATCCTTCTGCAACTGACTCTCTGTGTGATCCTTGTTCTATTACTGACTCTCTGCGAGATCCATCTTCTACAGTTGACTCTCTGTGTGTTCCTTGTTGCATTGTTGGCCCTTTGTGTTGTTCTTGTGCTGTTATTGATTCTTTGTGCAGTTTTTGTTCTCCAGTTGACTCTGTGTCTTGTTCTTCAGTTAAAATATCATGTGGTTCTGGTTCTGCAATTGTCCCTGTCTGCTGTTCTGGTAGACTTGGTGGTTGTGTTGGTATTCTATGTATATCATGTTTATGTTGATCTTCTGAATGTTCTGATAATTTTGGGGGGGTTTTGCTAGCATGTTTTTCAGACAGTAAGGTATTCATCTCTAAGAGCACATTGTCAAAGTCTTCATAAACATGTTTCTGATTATCCATGTCTCCCCAGAACTCAGGCAAGTCTATCTCTTCAAACTCAATGAATGGCCCTAGTGCAGAAAACAAAACATTTACCTAAACAATTGATCTTCTAATGCAGAATCAGAACTGTCAAATTAATGCAAAAAAGCATTGAGCACAGTGTTTATAATATAGGCCTATTGCTTTAAGTAAATATCAGTTACCTTTCCTTGTAACACAATAAAAACCAGAAAAGTACACATTTGAACATAAAAGATGCTCACTATTGTAAATTATAAAGTATTCCTTCCTAAAAGATGTGGTTTTGAAAGTGAACATGATTCTTCTTTTGCTAGTTGGAGAGTTGCTTAAACTGCCAAGGCAAATACAACTTATTCTCTACTTTTGGTCCTACCACAATAAGGCTGGCATGGGATGAAGGAGATAACTCATATCATCCACCTCAGATAACTTTTCAATATCTTTAATAGCAAAATAAAATCACGTCTCTATCCTTGACAATCTTTCACTTGGTTATTTTTTCCAATATTAATTTTCTCTCCCTTTCTTCCTGTCTACCTTTCTTTCTTTTTCATTCTTCAGTTCTTTTCCTTGACAACCTATGTGGACACCTCACTGAAATTTCTAGGGGAAGACTGAATAGCATTCACCAGAATCCCACTGTTAACAAAGACCACCACCAAAATGCCACTGGTGTCCTGGATTACAGAGAGTGAGACCCTGCCATAAGGCTGCCCCCTCCTTTCTAAAACATTTAGGATTTAAGCTATTAAATTGTGACTCCAATGGTTTTAGGGAATACTCTACATACATCATCCACAAATTTTTAAGTATCCAGGTAATAAATTTTCACACAGAAATAAAATAGTGGCATTCTTGGGAAACCCATTCATTCAATGACTTTCTCTTTAAAAAAAATAAAAATAAAATCCATAGTCCTATTTGTTTTGGTAGTAATATAAACCTTTCACTGTATAAGTACAGTAAAGGTATACAAGTAAAAATGCTTAGGAAAAGGAAGCATTTTTCTTCAAAATGCTAGAATTCTAAGTTAGACATTAAAACTAGAATTACCATTACCAACTTAATTTGTTTCAGAAATTAACTAATTTAATTTGTTTCAGATTGTTACTAAAACACCACTTCATTTAAATGAATTCAAAATTGAGTTCTAGTTGAGTTCTAGCTTGACAACTTTTAGTATTACACTGTAATGAAAAATACATCTGGTTGTGATGAAGAGTAAATTTTGTGGGGAATGAACAACCAAGTACAGCTATCATGATCTAAGGGAGACATTATGTGAAGAAATTCCACAGGGATAGAATGACCTTGTATTATCATATTAGTATACTTCATCATTTCAGCCTGAGCATGCTCACTCTGAGTGGCTCTTACATTGTCTTGGATTTCGGAGTAAACGTCTAAGCATTTTTGGACTTTGGTCATAGAATATTTCCAGCAAAGCTAATGTCCTCTGCCGATCCAAAAACCCGACCTAAGCAGAGAGGTTGCAGTTAGTTGTTACAGAAGATTCGAGATTTTTATGTAGATGGAATATGACTTATTGAAACATTCATTATCATCACCACCACCACCACTGGGTAAACAAAATCTGAGTCAAAATCAGGAAAGCTCTATCTTGCCACTTTAGGCTTATGCTCTAATACTTCCCTATTCTGAGACATGTCAAAATGCCTTGCACTTAATAGACGCTTAACAAATATTTGTTGTTACTGATGTAATTGCTAAATCTAATGTATTATACAATGTTCAGTTCTTATCTAATCTGACCTAAGTATGACACTTGGAACAATTAACTGTTCTCTACTTGTTCTTTGTTTTTTGTATTTTTATTTTGAGAAAAAAATTATAATTACAGAAAAATAATAAAATAATAAAACTAACCCTTGTGTTCCCAACACCCAGAAATGATGCTTGTTAACATTTTGTGTATATACTTTAAAAATACATAAAAATCATAGCACATGTCATTTAAATAATTTCTTATGAGTTAATTTGAGCCAAAGTGATGCCATATGCTGGGGAGCAAGATTTCAAATGTTACCCCTCTTTTAAAAATTTTTTGTAAGCATTTCATAGATCCTTAATATTGCTTTTATTTATGCAAACTTGAAGTCTGATTCATGTATATAAAGAAATATATTTTGTTTTTTAACTGTGTGTTATTCTATAATATAAAACCATAATTTTTTTAAAAGTCCCTCTTTTGATGGGCATTTAGATTATCTTCTGTATTTTGATACCAAATATAATGTGTATAATGGATATCCTTATACACATCTCCTGTGTGTATATGTAAATCTTTCCCTAGGGTAAATAAATAGGAGGGCAATGAATTGTATACTATATACATTTTCTCTTTTTAAAAATATTTGTTTATTGATTTGAGAGAAAGTAAGAAACATCAATTTCTTGTTCTACTTATTTATGCATTCATTGGATTCGTTGGTTGATTTTTGTATGGTCCCTGACCAGGTATCAAACCCCCAACCTTGGTATGTCAGTACCATTCTCTAACCAACTGAGCTACCCAGCCAGGGCCAGTGCATTTTCAACTTTAGCAGTTCTTGTGCAAATAGCTCCACAAAACACCTATACCAATGTACATTCTTATTATTACTGAATGAAGATATATCTCCATATTTACCCAATACTTGATATTGTTAGAATTTATGATTTCTCTAATCTGATAGATAAAATATATTATCTAATTATTTTAATTTGCATCTTCCTGATTATTAGTGAAATTGAATATGTTTTCATGTTTATTATGTATTGTGGTTTCCTCATCTATGAATGGCTTTTTCATATCCTTTTCCCTTTTTCAGTTGGGAAAAATTGTCTACTTCTTATTAATTTGCAAATTTTTTGTAATGATCATTCTGTTATCTAGATAGCACATATCCTTTCCCAGTTTATTTCTTATTTTTTTAATTTAAATTTTGGTGAATTTAGTCATATCGATGTTTCAACTTAGAGGTAGTCAAATGTATTAATCACTTCCTGTATGGTTTGTGCGTATTTGGAGTATTATTTAGGAAATATTACCTATACTGAGGTCAAAAGGTATACTTCTCAAACTAAAAAATTTTTCTTTTCTAATCCTCACCTGAGGACACTCTTTCATTGCTTTTTAGTGAGGATGAGAGAAAGGAAGGGAGAGAGAGAAACATCAATGTGAGAAAGAAACATCAATTGTTTGCCCTCTGCATGCACCTGGACTGGGGATCACACATGCCAGGACTGAGGATAGAGCCCGCAATCCATGCTTGTTCCTCAATCGGGGACTGAACCCCCAACTGTTCTGTTAAGGGATGATGCTCCAATCAACTGAGCCACATTGGCTAGAGCTAAAACTTTAAAAATTTTGTTTTCCATATCAAGGTCTCTGAACAGATGGAATTTATTTTTCTCATTAAGAAGTTGACGTTTAATTTTATATTTTTCCTAATATGGAAAGCCAATTGTCCCAATATCATTTACTGAATAATCCTTCTCACTGATTTATATTGCTACCCATGCCATACACTAAATTCCCACAGTCTCATGGGTCTGATGCCACTTTCAAAATTCTGTTAGTATAAGTTTATTTTTAAAAATCAGATAAATTCTCCACTTGTTCTTTTTTTTACCTTTTTGTTTTTGTTCTTCATTTTGTAATTGTTTGTGTTATATCTAGACCATCATTTTTCCATATAATTTTAAAAAGCTAATCTTTTAAAAAATATATACAAAAATGATAATGGTATGAGTTTATGAATTGCCATAATATAAACATAAGGAGCTGTTTCTCAAAAGAGAAGAATTAACTTTAGTAGAGGGCATGATTTTGCTCCAAAATTTGATAGGTCTACACTATGATTCTATTATTGCCATAGCATTTCAGTTTGCCCCATACATTTTAAATATTGTAGGATCTTCTAGGTGATAAGGCACAAGAAAAAGAAGAGTTTTTGTATTGCAAAGCCTTTTCTTGCTCTGGGGTCCACTCTGGATGCTAATGGCTCAGTGAATGAATAAAAACAACACATGAGAATAATTGTTGTTCCTACAATGTAAAACGGTAAAATAAACATAGTGCTCTTTCTTACTGGTTGGTGGCACAATGTGATAGCAATTTGCCTCATACTTGAAAAAGATCCTGTTATGCCTCAGGCTGCTTGACTGCTAAAAATTTCCCATGGTAGTAAACCCTGAATTTTTATGGTTTTTCTCATTTACCTTCTGACACGCATGTGTATTACTAAGGCATCAAATGCTTTTTCCAGCTTACCAGCTCCAATCACCATGATAGAAATCATCAAAGCAGTGGACTAGCATGATGTCCTGCGATATGTCAACCTAATCAAGATCTAGGCAGCCCTAGCTGGGCAGCTTAGTTGGTTAGAGCATTGTCTAGATACACCAAAGCTGTGGATTTGATCCCATGTTGGGGCACATGCTAGAGTCAATCAATGAATGCATAAATAAGTAGAACAACAAATTGATGTTTCTCTCTCTAAAAATTAATAAAATTTTTTTAAATGTTCTCTTTATACTAGATTATGATAGAAGGAAAGAGAGTTGCATTGGCCCTCTGGCAAGGCAGTGAAAGTATACTGCTGTTCATGACAGGTGAAATTTAAACTTCTGTTGGTTCTTACACACCGTTGTAGAGAAAATAGTATTTGACAGACTAATAGTGGTGAAAGAAAGGGGTGTGTCAATTTGGTCCAATAAAGATTCCACCTCTTGGATAGCAGCTGCAAATGGAGTCACAGTAATGTACAAAAAATTCTGTTCTTTGAAAGATAGTTAGAAAATTCCAGTTAACCATATGTTTTGTTTTGAACATTTCTCTAAGCTGATGTAGCTACAAGTATATAGACATATGTCTATATGGTTTTTGTCATTGTTTTACAAAAATGGAATTATATTGTACACATTTCTCTGTATTTTACTTTTTTTCACTCAGTAATAAAGTGCAAAATTTCCTCCAAGTCCACTGGTGTAGATCTCTTCAATTTGTATAAAGGCTGCATAATATTCCAAGATGTAGACATACCATTATTTTAAAAACATTTCCCCCTACACATAAGCATTCCCTTAATCTTTCTCTCTCCTTCTCTCTCTCGTTTAAACAATACCACAGAAATCATTCTTGTTCATGTATTTTCTATTTACTAGCGCTTTTACATTTGGGGGATAAAAATTTCAGGAATGGGATCACTTGGTTGAAGAACGTATGTATTTTTTATTTAAAGAATATAACCAGCCTTGTCTGGTGTGGCTCAGTGGACTGAGTGCTGGCCTGTGAACCGAAAGGTCACAGGTTTGATTTCTAATCAGGACCTGTGCCTAGGTTTTGGGCCAGGTTCCCAGCTGGGGTCATATGAGAGGCAACTGATCATGTATCTCTTGCACCTCAGTGTTTCTCTCTTTTTCCCTCCCTCCCTCCTCTCTAAAAATAAATAAATAAACTATTAAAAAATAGATATACCCAGATTGCTCTACAAAGATACTATAAGTATTAAATTTTCACCAGGAATAGTGAGGAAATAATTTTCTTCTATCTTTACCAGAAATATGTATTATTATTTAAAAATACTTTTGCTCATCTGTTGAACATATAACAATTCCATGCATTGTGTGTTCATACCTTTTGACGAGTTTTCTTTAGGGACTTCTTATATAGTGCTCTACCATCAGAGAAAGGGGCATTTAGTTCAGTGTCAGCCATAGTACTCTTTGACTCAAACCATATGGAGTTCATCACACTGAGTCATTTGGAGGTTTTGTTTGTGTTTGTTGTTTATGCCAATGGTTCTTCTTGTCCCAATTCCAGGTGTCTTCTTGGAGGTACACCCAGAACTTTTTTACTGCCCTCTTCTCTACATACCCACTCCCCTTCACACACAGGTGTTTGAAAATACTCATCACCTTTCCTCTAGCCACAGGAGTGGGACTAACCTCAGCCCTGCCTACCTAGACCCCTCCTTCTGCAGTGGTTATACTCCCTCTTTAGTGTCATGTTGGATTCAGGGCTTCTCTATGAAGCTTGCAGTCTCTGAGCCAAACCCAGGAAAAGAAGCATAAGCCCTGTTGTTCTTAAATGTCTCCTCAGCCTACTTAGAATTTCCAAGAGTATAATATTCCCTTCAACCCCCAACCCTGATTGGGGATCAGGGATGGGGGATCAGATACTAACTCTTGACTTAGAGACCCAGACAACCTCTCACCCCTAGTCGCATTTCCTCCACCTCCTCCTTCCATCAGCTAGTCACAATTTCCCAGTGATAGAAAAAGGACTTTGATGCCATAGTTTGCATTCTTCCTTACTCTACAGTTCATTTTTTTCCTCAGAAGCCCAGGATTTTCAAGTAAAAGTATAGGCTCTGAGCTCTTGTCTCAGCTATTGGTTAAATATATTCCGAAACTCAATTAAACTTCTTTATCCCAGGCTACATCTATCTTCCCTACATGATCAACACAAACTTCTATTTGAATGCTGGAAAGAAAAGCAAAATCACAAGAAAATCTCAGTTTATTCTTCTAATTATTATCTCACTGTGTTTGTTATGGCATATGAATTAGTATTAAATTGGCCAACAAATAGTTGATATCTAAGCATTTACCAGAGAGTAAAATCTTGACCTCCTTGTTATCCAACATTTATTATAAGCTCTGTTAAAAGAACCAAAATTCAAGAAGTATTGCCTGGAAGACATGTAAACCATATCAGATTTTATAAAATATAGTTCTAACTTAAGCCAAGTTAGCAGGGCTCTGAGAACCTAGACTGCAATATATTGTTTCCTTCAAGAATTGCTTTTTTTGAATTGCAATCAGGTGTGATATCATTTGCCTATATTTAAAGTGGTTATAAAAAAAGAACCTTCCCTAAGAAAGTCATTGTTTCATTTATTATACATCTATGATAAAGGATGTTCACTTCAACTCTTAGAGCCCCTTTGGGGAGTATTTGTGGGAGAAACTCCTGACTTTGAACCCCAAGTGTCTGTACTTCTTCTTAACACCAGTCTGCAGTTATCTTATAAATTTTGTCAATGGAATGCTCAGTCATGTTTCCCTTTTTGCATTCACTGCTAGGAAGCTTAGATTCAAACTTGTAGATACCCCAGAACAAATATTTAGGTCATTATAATACACATTTTGGGCTTTGTTCCCAGCTTTATTTACTATCTTCTCTCTTATACTTTACTTCTTTCTTCCTACTTTTAATTTATGTTCCTTTGTTGCAATCTTTTTTTGGAATGTGGGGATACAAATGAAGTTCATAAACATATATCAGTAAATTATTTTTGCAAATCCATTTGGTATCCTCCCAATATCCTCCCAAATACCACTCTTGGAATTTTTTTTTTATAAAAACTTATCTTGTTTTTTAAGAAGCAACATAATAAGATATGGTAAGCTTTCTATTCCCAGAAGCTCTTTCCTATAGGATGCCACCAGAAAAAAAGAGTAAGCAAAAACAATGTTAAGCAACCCATTCTTAAGAATGGGACAGAGTTCTTTATATAAAGGACCTGTGGACAAAGCCAAAGGAGGGGTAGGATTGAGGGTGGGAGGTGGGGTTGGGTGTGGTGGGGGAGAGTCACAGGGGGAAAATGGGGAAAACTGTATTTGAACAACAATTTAAAAAAAAAAGAATGAGACAGAGATTTAGAGACAGGTTATACACTGTGAAGTGCTGTGCCATGCAAGGTGTGGCCTGTAAACTGGTAAAAGTCTGTGATGAGAACAATAAAGAAATTGAGAATAGCATCTAGATAATTTTACAGCAATTTGAGAAAGTAACAGATACTAAATCAAATTTGAATCTGATAATAAAAATATCTGGGTTGTATTTTGCATGTCCTTTCCTCCTTGCCATGTGCCCCAGTAATCCATTTTCATCGTGTATCAGTTCATAGCAGATTGCAAATTAAAAATATCACCATCAACAATAACCTAAAAACTAGTCCTTTGCAACAAACAGTTTGAAAAGCGTGGCTTTAAGGGCCTTACCCTACCTTCCCACAGTCACAATGCAGGAAGAGTTCAGCAAACATCTGCCTCTGCATATCCATTTTTATGACCTCCCGGAATTCATCTGCACAGTGGCAAAGATGTTTAAGGAGTTTCTCAAACATTTCACTTTTAAAATCTGAAATGTGTGAAGAGATGTACTGCAAGGAAAAAGAGAATAAATGATTGATTTAAAACTGTGCTCTTTACTTGGATTTTCCAAAGAATTCACTTGATGTGCATGAAATTATTGGCTGCAATTTTCCTCCCATATCATTTGCTTGTCACTTAGATAAAGCATTTCATCTTAGTGCTATTCTACATGCTGCACAGCAGAGAGAGGTAATCAGTACAGCTCCCAACACCATACACCAGGGGGACTAGATATTTTTGGAGAAATTTTCCTCTAGATCAATAAGCACTATTTAGGGCAGACTTTTTAACTTACTGTATGAAATAGCAGCAGCCATAGAACTTTGCCTGTAAATTACTAGTTCTAAGAGTTGAATGCAGTTTTTCTTATGATGTATGGCATATAAGACCATCTGTTTTCCAAGGCTGGCTGTATTTAATTATTAGAGCATAAGGGATAGAGATTGAAGGCAGGGTGTATGTTAGTTTGTTTTTTGTCTTCTGATATTGCAATAAGATATTATTTGCCTATGATTTTCTTTTCCTTTTGAAAGTGTAGAGTCTGAAACATCTAAGATCCTGGGCCATTTCTATTTTTTTTTAATGTAAATTTCCAGTCAAGGAACAAATCCCCCTTTCTTATCACATTCCATTTAGATAACTGCAGATTCTTAGCAAGATGGAAAGTGATGCAGACATAAAAGTTAAAGGATTAAGTATTTGGTGTGTTGGTCACCAGTTCATGGTTGACTTGTTTTGAGATGATATAGACCCAGCTTATACGCAGTGTACACATTGTTTTATCCTGAGGGATCCATATTCCTACCATCAGTATTCTAAACTCATATGACCCTGGCCCATTTTTCTTGTTCCCTGTTGAATAGGTTCCTGGAAGTGGGATTGCTAACTTAGAAGGTTAATGCGTTAGTATTTTTGGTAGCTTGTCACGTCATGCTTGTACACTTTTGTGCTTCCACAACTAATGTATGAGTGGCTCTTTCTCCTCAGCCTTACAGATTTTTGCTTATTTGATAGGTCAAGAACATTACATCCTTGATCTATACCTAACTATAGTATCTCATGATAGAGAAAAATGGATCAAGCTCTGAAAGAGTTTCTGTGAATTGAGTTTTTAACCCAGTTCACAGTCAATGATCTCCTCCTCTGCCCCAAGCACAGCCACAACCAAATTTATACTGGTAGCCAAATTTGTACTGAATAACCTTACTTTCTTAGCCATAAATGATCGGACCGGGGAGTATACTTAACCTAAACAAAGCCATTCAGATTCTCTCTACTGGGAATTGGGAATTAGGAGTGGGGAATGGCTAGGTGGTCTCTGAGAGACACTGGATCTGTAAATGTAAACTTAAGGATTGGTGGCTGGCTAGATTACTCCATGTCAACTGAGGATGCAGAGAAAGTCTGTGCACAGAGACAGGTAAATCAGAAAGCAGAGAGAAAAGAGTCTTGATGTTTTCCAAGTCCCTATTCTAGTCTCTTCCTGAAGCCAGACCACATTTCTGCTCTTGAATTCTGCACATTTCATTTTCAGCCACATTAGCTCAGGTTGGTTTTTGTTTCTTGAAATTAAAAAATAGTAACTAATAGTTTGTTAAAATAAAACATTCTGTTGGCACATTTCACTGACATAATTTTTTCATTTCCACCTAAGGACATTTTTTCATTGCTGTTTGAGAGAGAGAGAAACATGGATGTGAGAAAGAAAAGTCAATTGGTTGTCTCCCATACGCACTGGACCAGGGATCAAAACTGCAACCTAGGTAGGTGCCCTTACCAGGAATCAAACCCACAGCCTTTCAGTTACTGGACAAAACTCCATCCAACTGAGCCACACTGGCCAGTGCTGATATACTTTTTGAAATGAAAGCTATAGTTGATATTTTACTTCCTCATTAATATAATCTAGGCAAATATAGGATGTATTATGCAAGAGATAAATAAGGCTTGTATCCATGCTAACAAATCATAAACCATTATTCAACTGACTTAGAGATCAAAAGAGGAAAATTTAAAGCAGAGCAAAAGAGCTTTTCTAAATATTTAGTTTCCTTAGTGGCCTAAAGCACCTAATTATCATTATTCTTATTGGCTCAATGAGCACCATTAAGGTCTTATCTGTTACCTTGGAAAACAGAATAGTGTAATATTAATAACTTGCATTTAGAACTTGTCTAGGTTCAAATCCCAGTTCCCATATCTAGTGGCTGAGTTACCTTGGATGAATCACTGAACTTCCCAGTTTCCTCATTTGTGAAATGGGTGCTATAGTAGCTATCTCATGGAGAGGATACTGTGTTTACAGAGCATAGGTAGTCCATGTGATAAGTTCTCTGTAGCTATTGCTCTTATTTCCGTTGGAGCTAGGCTTAAAAAAAATCAACCAAGAAAGTTTTCTTTACAGGATAAAAGTCTCAGCTGACTTACAAATTTAGAAGAAAAAGAAATCCAATGAGATGATTGGTGGCTCTTTTTTTTTTTTCAGTTTGCCAAGTTTTTATTTTTTTTTCTCAAAAAGACATTTCATTCATTCAGAATTATAACTTTAAAAACAAATTAGCTTCATAGGAAAGTCGCTGCCCTTTATTTTTTTTTTTGCCCTTCATTTATTTTTAATTTATTTTTTCAAATACATTTGTCTCTGCCTACCCCCCACCACTTTCCCTTGCCCCCTCCCTCCTTCCCTCCCTCATCTCTTCCCCTTTGGTTTTGCCCATGAGTCCTTGCTATATGTTCCTTGACTTTCCCCTTCCCTTCCTTTTCCCCGCCCCCCCCCTTCCCTCTTGTCTCTGTTGATTTCTTTTCCTTTTAGTGTTGCTGGTCTTATTTTCCTTGCATCTTTGTATTGTTGGTTAGGTTCCACTTATAGGTGAGATCATATCGTATTTGTCTTTCGCCCCCTGGCTTATTTCACTTAGTATAATGCTCTCCAGTTCCATCCATGCTGTCGCGAAGTTTAGTAGTTCTTTTTTTCTTTCTGCTGCGTAGTATTCCATTGTGTATATGTACCATTATTTTTTGATCCAATCATCTACTGATGGGCATTAAGGTTGCTTCCAACACTTGGCTATTGTAAATTGTGCTGCTATGAACATTGGGGTGCATAGGTTCTTTTGTATTGGGGTTTTGGGATTCTTAGGGTATAGTCCCAGCAGGGGAATCACTGGATCAAAAGGCAGTTCCACTTTCAGCTTTTTGAGGAGATTCCACACTGCTTTCCACAGTGGCTGCACCAGTCTGCATTCCCACCAACAGTGTACTAGGGCTCCCTTTTCTCCACAGCCTCGCCAGCACCTGTTGTTCGTTGATCTGTTTATGATGGCCATTCTGACTGGTGTGAGGTGGTACCTCATGGTGGTTTTGATCTGCATTTCTCTGATGGCTAGTGATGCTGAGCATCCTTTCAAATGCCTCTGGGCCTTCTGTATCTCCTCCTTGGAAAATCATCTGTCCAGGTCCTTTGCCTATTTTTTGATTGGATCGTTTGTCTTCTTGGAGTGGAGTCGAGTGAGTTCTTTATATATCTTGGATATCAAACCTCTGTCTGATGTATCATTAGTGAATACATTTTCCCATATGGTTGGCTCCCTTTTCATTTTGCTGATGTTTTCTTTAGCTGTGCAGAAGCTCCTTATTTTGATGAGGTCCCACTTGTTTATTCTTTCCTTTATGTCCCTTGCTTTAGAAGACATACCAGTGAAAAAATTGCTGCATGGGATATCTGAGAGTTTCCTGCCAATGTTCTCCTCTAGGACTTTTATGGTGTTGCGACTTATATTTAAGTCTTTTATCCATCTTGAGTTTATCTTTGTGTATGGTGTCAGCTGATGATCCAATTTCAATTTTTTGCATGTAGTCGTCCAGCTCTCCCAACACCATTAACACCATTTGTTGAAGAGGCTATTATTGCTCCATTTTATGCTTCTGCCCCCTTTGTCAAATATTAGATGCCCATATAGACCTGGGCTTATTTCTGGGCTTTCTATTCTGTTCCACTGGTCTATGGATCTGTTCTTGTGCCAGTACCAGATTGTTTTGAGTATAGTGGCTTTGTAGTATAGTTTGATGTCCGGTATTGTGATCCCTCCTACTTTGTGTTTCTTTCTCAAAATTGCTGCAGCTATTCGGGGTCATTTATGGTTCCATATAAATTTTTGAAATGTCTGTTCTATTTCTGTGAAATACGTCATTGGTATCTTAATAGGGATTGCATTGAATCTACAAATTGCTTTGGGTAGTATGGACATTTTGATGATATTAATTCTTCCAATCCATGAGCACAGTATACGCTTCCATTTATTTGTGTCTTCCTTAATTTCTTTCTTCAATGTTGTATAGTTTTCTGCGTACAGGTCTTTTACCTCTTTGGTTAAATTTATTCCTAGGTACTTTATTTTTCTTCTTGCTATATCCAATGGTATTTTTTTTCTGATTTCTTCTTCTTCTATTTCATTGCTGGTGTACAAAAATGCCTTTGATTTCTGAATGTTGACTTTGTATCCTGCTGTTTTGCCAAATTCACTTATTAGGTTGAGGGGTTTTTTGGTAGTCTACAGGGTTCTCTATGTACACTATCATGTCATCTGCAAACAATGATAGCTTTACTTCCTCCTTTCCTATTTGGATGTCTTTTATCTCTTTCTCTTGTCTGACCGCTGTGGCTAGGACTACCAATACAATGTTGAAAAGAAGCGGTGAAAGCGGACATCCTTGTCGTGTTCCTGATCTTAGTGGGAAAGCTTTCAGTTTTTGCCCGTTGAGTATGATATTGGCTGTAGGTTTTTCATATATGGCCTTTATTACATTGAGGAATGTCCCATTTATTCCCATTTTGCTGAGGTTTTTGATCATAAATGGGTGCTGTACCTTATCGAATGCTTTTTCTGCGTCTATCGAGATGATCACGTGGTTTTTGTCTTTTCTTTTATTTATGTGATGTATCACGTTTACTGATTTGTGTATATTGAACCATCTCTGCATGCCTGGGATGAATCCCACTTGATCGTGG